TGGTATATTATGCATATACCCGGTCGTGTGTGGCACGCGTAGACTGGATTTTTAGCTTTGTCAGTCACTGCCCCCGATCCAGCTGCCGGTCGTCACGAATCCCTCTTGTTATCGATCTCCCTACTCCGTGGGGCATCTGGCGGGCTTCATCGTTTGCAATAGTCGAACCCTTAAGTATGTAGTTGTAAAACTCCAACAATCTCACCCCAGGTGAAAATGAGGAAGCTGGTAAGCTCATATGCCTATTGCAAAAATAGGATGCATGTCTTACTACTTAGCTACTGATGCAGTTATAGGAAATACTAATTTTCCATGTTTAGTTGATTCTGGAGCAGATATTTCCCTTATTTAGACTGGAGATATTCCTTAAATTCCAAGCTAGAATTGGATACTATAGTGTGCATAAAGTGAGCCTGAAAAGGGCAAACGGCGCTATGCTGTAACATAAAGGCATGGTAGAACTTGAGCTATTATCTAATAGCGTTTCCTTAAACCATAAGTTTACTATTTACCCGATAAAGCTTGGGACTTCATACTAGGTGGCGATTTCTTACATGCACTTACAGGCTGTATTATAGTATACTATTTACTGGTCTTATTAAGTATGATTACTCGAATTAGCACTCCTAGTTTTAGCAGCAGTATCCTAGTCCTCTTAGTGAAAACTTCGTAGAAATTGACACAGTTTTGGTGGATAGAAGTGAGAGGACGGACATCAATGCAAGCCCTGATGTGCTCCGGGCCTCAAACACGTATTTACTTGGAATGACACAAATCCAGGCTCACACTCCTAATCGAGATCGAGGGACATGAGCCCAGCTTTGACTTAAATCAGTGTCACCTCTGACTAATATTAGCGTCAGTAATAGTGTCAGTACTGTTATCATTCCGTTGCATTGTTAGTTATTAATAGTAGTAGTAGTAGTATTTGCAGTAGTTGCAGTACCAGCCTCAATCTCCTTAAGTCTTCCTTGGCACGTGCTGAATGTGTGTGAGTGTAGGTAGTGCGGTAGTACCAACGTAAAAGTCAACTGTCACTTAGGACTAGTTTAAGCGGTGTTCTGGCCTGAATTGGAGAAAGTAGCCAAAGTTGGATCCCGTTTCGGTTTTCTGGACTCTGGGTGAAGGTGGAGAGTGCGGTAGACGTTTACAACGTCTAGAAGCCCCTAAAACCAACCCTTGTCTTCGGTCCTTTTCCCTGCACCATCTTGTTTGGAGCATATGGTGGACTTAATCGAAATTGATGTTCAAACAATTAATGCTCCACGGCGAGAAGTTGGAACCCAAACCGGCTTCCGCGCCCTGGTTGCAGTTGTATTATACCAACCAATAATTCTGTATATTTAAAGCTAATGAGCATTGCAATTGAGGAACCCTATTCAAAATGGAATACTGTCTTGTATGAATTAAGTATATTACTAGGAAGTAGAGAGTAACAACTTCATTTAAAATAGTATATTTGTATGCAAATGGGGATTAAAGCGCAGCCCCCTTGAAGGATCGAGGATAACGCGGAACACTTACACAGCATCGTATTATTCCCTTTTTAGTAATTTAATCTGCCTACTGGGAGGCTGGATTAAAACAACTTGAGGCGAGCATGGGCACGGTGGCCGGTTTGGTCTCCTACCATTTATGTTTACCTTGGTACAGCTGGTCCATTTTTTTGTCGTATAACTGAACCATGTGGGGTATGATCGCTGTTCTCAACATGCATTCACGGAGACACCAATGAGAGCCGAGTAACCCCTCTGGTAGCCAGATATTTTCCACTTATTACTCGTTGATGAACGTTCACCGATCGCTAACGGAATTCACTCGTCCCGCTCTGCCTTGGGGATCATTCTCGCGCCCCGCCAGCAGCTGCACAGCGACCCGTAGTCTGGGCAGATAGACTTCTTATCGAAAGGGCGCAAGTTTGAGCGTTGGCTGGTGCACCACTTGGGGTTGCGTATGACTGGCTGTCGACGGCTAATGACCCAGAAATGACTATTCCAGTCTCCCTTGTCTTAACCGACAGTACTACCTACTACTTATTACTCTTTCGCGAGCACCTTGCTTTGCCAGTCACAATCAGACATTCAGGCTGATTGTGGGTAAAACACGTTTTCGTGCGCGAGCGCGCTTGAGTTTTTCCCTAGAACTTTACCTCAAAACGTTTGGTGTAGTATATAAACTGTCATCGATCCTATTCATTCGTGGCTCTTTCTTCTCCCGCCGTCGCCTTTTCTCCAGTGCTATTTCTATACTCCTGGGCGTCCTCCTAACTTGCCTACATGTAATCCGTCTGCCACCTGAGCACGCTGACTTACACGAGAAAGTCACTGGCCGGCTGGTGCGCGTGCTTACCAG